ACTAATATTCGTAGATCTGAAAGCATCGTTGTAGACATTTTTAGTGACGATGAAAACGAAAATCGCATGATTATTACTCCTCAAATCACGATTCCGTCATGTAAGCGGTACAAAGCATGTTCTGGACCAAATGCGAGTGTTGTAATCGATTCAATCCACTGTACAAAAGAAAAGGTCTGGTCATCCTAGAAAGATTGTTGGCTCAACATCCACAATATCTAGTTTTTTTTTCTTTAATTATAAATATCAGTAAAATTGTTATTGTAATATAACATCTAAAAATCTATTATATTTTTAAAATTGTAGTATACTGGGACATGGGAGATGCAACCTACTGTTGTAAACATTGTGGAGCAAAGTTTTGGTACGAGGAAAGAAAGTCTCATCGTTTAAAACCTGTTTGTCCGGAGTACATTGGTTGTTGTGTTAATGGATTAGTAAAGCTTCCTTCCGTACGGGACCCTCCACAATTTTTGAAAGATTTGCTTTATGGAGATAGCCACATGAGCAAACATTTTCAAGAAAATATAAGATCTTACAACAACATATTTGGTTTCACTTCAGTGGGCGGTATAATTGATGTCGATATCAATAAGGGATCAAGGCCGTCTGTTTTTTCTTTGCATGGACAAAACTATCATTTATTTGGTAGCTTGCTTCCTACCGAAGATTCTACTCCAAAGTTTGCGTAACTTTACATATACGATACTGAAAATGAAGTTTCCAACAGAATTAATGTTGTGAGGTATATTATTTTTTTACAAAAGAAAAATGATAGTTTCTTTGTTATTATGTTATTTCTTATTTATTATGTATGTGTGTACACACACACACACACACACACACATATATATATATATATATATATATATATATATATTAAATTTTAAGTATCTTACATACAATCTTTAAAATAATTGATTTTTATTTTTGTTGAATTACGATTGAATATAATTAATGCGGCAGGAAAGGATATGATGATGCCAAATTGCATGAGGGTATTGTTGCTGGGTTGAAACAGATGCTAGACCAAGATAAAGAATTGGTCAAATCATTTCGTCTAGCGAGACACATAATGCAGGAGCTCGGGGAGGCAAATGTTAGAGTCCGTCTAATTGGTAGGAGATATAAGATGCCAGACGATATAACTTGCCAACCGGTTTTGAACTCGCTGTGTTGGTTGTTGGCGATTTTGACTGTAACGCCTCAAATTTTATTAATAAGGAAAATACTAGCTTTAAAATATAAGCTAGCCTTATTTAATAAATAATCATGTCAATGTTCAAGATTAAGTTATTCAGGTAAATTCCAAGTTCGACTAAGTCGAAAGTATATCCGGTTAATTTTATTAACCGAGTCAATAATAATAATTAATCTCAGTCCGTTTAATTATAAATGGACGTTATCATGTTCGGAATTAATAATTTAAGTTGACGAATTATTCGAAATGTCAATATTACGATTAATCGTCCAAGTCAAGAACGTTCGAATTAATTTTTGAAATCCCGTTTATGCTCAGAATAATTTCTAAGTGTTCAATTATATGCTAAGATAAAGTTTTCGAGCCTAATCGACCATTAATCCGCAATGTGCTACGCATTGCCGCTAGATTATCCATTGTCCATGCTAATTAAACATATTTTGCACCTAAGTTCTAGCTAGTTGCCAAGAAAATCTCGTCCAATGTTGCAATGGTGCTTAGTCCATGATAATTGCCGAGGACTATTGGCTTAAGCATGAACTACACGCCCATTACTCAAGCTTAGTATTAACTAAAGTTAAACCAAGTTAGCATGCTCAAGCTTAGTATTAACTAAAGTTAAACCAAGTTAGCATGTCATTAGGCCGTACATCATGCAAATTGCCGTAAGGAAGTTGGAGCAAGAGTGCACATGAGTTCATCATTTCACTTATGCTAGGTGGCATTTAGTTAGCTCTCCATTTTGATGACTAAGCTAAGGAAGTGATGAGTAAGCAAGTAAGAAGCCACCTAGGGCCTTATATTCAAGCAAATGGCACTAGTTCATTGGCTAAGACATTTTAACTCTTTTCACTTATTTCATCTGATCATATATATGGAAGTTGGAGTGAAGAAGTTCAGGATATACTTAAGAAATTCACTAAGCTGAGAGTTAAATAAATTAAGAGAGATTAAGTTTTATTCACGCACATAAGCACGAAGAAGGAGAATAACTCACGCATGCACTCACACACGCACGCACGGAACACGCCCTCGCCCGTAGTGTCCAGCAGCGCGCTGCCAGTGAGCATGTGCGTAGGCGCGCGCAGTGCACGTCAGTCACACACGGCAGCAAGCAGTCAGCACCCGTAGTGCGTCACGAGCGGTGACAGCGCACGACAGCGCGCCCAGCCATCTCGCAGCACGCATGAAGTCGCCAGCCAGCAGTGCCCAGCGCAGGCTGGCCAGTCCCAGTGCACGCCAGCGCGCCCGACAGCGCGCCAGCATGCCC